AGCAGAGGCCGTGGGCCTGCGCGCGCATCCCCAGTAGGGCTACGTGCCGCCCTTGGGGCCACGCCCTGGACCAGAGCCACCAATCACAGGGAGCAGCGTGAAGGGCCAGTCCCCGGCAGGTGCCGAGCCCTGTGCCCGGCGGGCGCCCGGGCGCTGTGGCGGGGGCGAGGCAGAGACCTGTAGGGGCTGCTGGGTACCTCTCCCAGGCGTCTGCGCTGGGCCGGCCTGAATGTACACCCGACCGCTTCGCACTTCTTTGCCCTTGTCCTCGCAACCTTAAATCTGCGACCTTCCCCAGGGGCACAGTTCCTACTTGATTGATAGTTCTGTGCTTTGAGAGGTTTTAAAGCTCCTCAGCTCGCGACCTCAGCGCCCGCACCACGCGCCCAGCTCCCTCACCCTCTGTCGGCAACGCGGCCACCACTGCACACCGCCCCTCCTGCACGGCCCCTGCCAACGCTAATACCAGAGTTAGGCCGACTGGAAATGGAAGCTTTGTTTCACCTAAGTGTTTATGACTTTCAGAGCAAACAGTTTGCCCCCAACGTTAGTCTTAATTGTGGAGTTGGTGTAATTAGTTATTAGCTTCCTTCTCTGCCTCTTGAGTTCTGTGCCTTCCCCCGCGTGCCCAGCGCCCATTCGTATTTCATCGGAGATGGACGTGCCCACACCTTCAGCTTCCACAGGGGAAGAGGCCCTGCCACAGTCATTTAAATGGATTGTGTAGGGATTCCTGACTCACAGCTAGCGATTCATTGAGGTGGCAAGATAAACTGGCAGAATGAGGTACCCTCAAGCCCTTATCAAAGAGGAGTCTGGAAGCAAGTAATTGCAAGGGCACCTGCCACCATCCACCCTGGGAGGCAAAGAGATCTTACGATAATCTTAGATCTTAGGATAATCATGAGAAGGGAATCCTTTGTCTCTAAAGGGAAAAGAAAAAAAAAATACCAACAGATTTTTTTTTTTGTTTAAATATATATATTTTTTAAGACGGAGTCTCGCTCTGTCGCCCAGGCTGGAGTACAGTGGCGCAATCTTGGCTCACTGCAAGCTCCGCCTCCTGGGTTCGTGCCTAGCCTCCCGAGTAGCTGGGACTACAGGTGCCTGCCACCACGCCCGGCTAATTTTTTGTAATTTTTAGTAGAGATGGGGTTTCACCATGTTAGCCAGGATGGTCTCGAACTCCTGACCTCAAATGATCGCCCGCCTCGGCCTCCCAAAGTGCTGGGGTTACAGGCGTGAGCCACTACACCTGGCCAGATTTTTTTTTTTTTCTTCACCACCAGGCTAATTCTGTTGTGTCCAGGGAAAAGGTCACGTTTGCCTTTGTGAGGTGTGCTTAATTCACAGGTTAGTAACACATTTGGGGATCCTGATCTGGAATTGGACGATCCACATCACCCTCCTTCATGGACCTGGAGTCCCCCACTTCCACACCACCACCAGTGGGCACATGCAGCCAGATGTTGACATCTTGCTGGAGTTGCAACACTCAAGAAGAAACAAAAAGAAAAGACCTCCTCCAGCGTGGTCCCCGGCCAGGTTGGTAAGGGTGGGGTACATATGGTTGAGGGGGCATGAACCATCTTGATGATTTTTTTTTTTTCTTAGACGGAGTCTCACTGTGTTGCCCAGGCTAGAGTGCAGTGGCGCAGGGACAATCTCGGCTCTCTGCAACCTCCGCCTCCCGGGTTCAAGTGATTCTCTTGCCTCAGCCTCCCCAGTAGCTGGGATTACAGGGGCTGCCACCATGCCCATCTAATTTTTGTATTTTTAGTAAAGACAGGGTTTCACCATGTTGGCCAGGCTGGTTTATAACTCTTGACCTCAAGTGATCTTCCTACCTTGGCCTCCCAAAGTGCTGGGATTATAGGCGTGAGCCACCGTGCCTGGCCTTTTTGCCCATTTTTCTATTGTGCTAATGGAAGGATTCTCAGGTTCCTAATACCTTTTACTCAGGACAGGATGGGAAATACACAACAATCCATAACTTTTTTTTCCCCACTTTTCTGAGATGGAGTTTCACTCTTGTTGCCCAGGCTGGAGTGCAATGGGTGATCTTGGCTCACTGTAACCTCTGCCTCCCGGGTTCTAGTGATTCTCCTGCCTTGGCCTCCCAAGTAGCTGGGATTACAGGTGTGTGCCACCAAGCCCAGCTAATTTTTGTATTTTTAGTAGAGATGGGGTTTTGCCGTGTTGGCCAGGCTGGTCTCAAACTCCTGACCTCAGATGATCCACTTGCCTTGGCCTCCCAAAGTGTTGGGATTACAGGTGTGAGCCACCGCACCTGGCCAATCCATAAATTTCTTAATTGAAAAAGAAAGCCCATACTCACTCTAGGCTAATGTAATCGATGAATTATAAAAATGGCCATAGTTGGGCCAGGTGCAGTGGCTCATGCCTGTAATCTCAACACTTTGGGAGATGAGGCAGGCAAATCACCTGAGGTCAGGAGTTTGAGACCAGCCTGACTAACATGGAGAAACCCCGTCTCTACTAAAAATATAAAATTAGCTGGGCGTGGTGGCGTATGCCTGTAATTCCAGTTACTTGGGAGGCCAATGCAGGAAAATCGCTTGAACCCGGGAGGTGGAGGTTTTGGTGAGCGGAGATCATGCCATTGCACTCCAGCCTGGGCAACAAAAGCGAAACTCCGTCTCAAAAAAAAAAAAACCCAAAAAACCCCTATAGTTTTCATGAGCTTGTTGATCTATATCTAGGACTACAAGGAAGATATGCATGCTACAGACATTTGTATCTAGCAGTGGGTGCTACTGTAACATGTGGCATTAGCTTTGGACTAGATGCCTGGAAAAGCAGTGGGGAAATTGGTAGTGAACACTGGAACAATGGTGAGAAAAACTACGGGAGGTGGACAAATGGTGGACTCTGTATCATGGTGAAGGATTTGTAAAATTGTGTCCCTTCAGTAAGATGGGCAGAGAAAAAGGCAACCACTGAACTCTGGAACTTGAAAAAGATCATCTCAGTATAGTGTTGAGATTAACCTGTTTTTCTTTTGCTTGACTATGTTGAGACACTTATAGAAAAGAGTGTGGTTAAAAACAAACAAACAAACAAGTTGGCTAGCAGAATTTAGAACACACATTCGGTTGGAGCTGGGGAAAGTATTATTAGACTATAGTTGGTAACAAGTTCTCAAAGTAAGTCATGACCTGGGCCAAAGACCAAATTCAGAGTGGTGCTAGTAAAATATGGCCTTAAGAATAATGCTGAAGTCAAGGTGATCTCAATGATTTAAATGTTAACTAGTATACCCTTTCAGCAATATACAAATATTTATTAAAAATCTTAGAGCGAGGCTTGTTTCAAGACTAGTGGGAGTGTTGGCCAGGCGCGGTGGCTCACACCTGTAATCCCAGCACTTTGGGAGGCCGAGGCAGGCGGATCACAAGGTCAGGAGATCCAGACCATCCTGGCTAACACGGTGAAACCCCATCTCTACTAAAAAATACAAAAAATTAGCCAGGGGTGGTGGCGGGTGCCTGTAGTCCCAGCTACTCGGGAGGCTGAGGCAGGAGCATGGCATGAACCCGGGAGGCGGAGCTTGCAGTGAGCCAAGATCGCACCACTGCACTCCAGCCTGGGAGAGAAAGCGAGACTCTGTCTCAAAAAAAAAAAAAAAAAAAAAAAAAGACTAGTGAGAGTGGCTTCTGGGGCATGGAGAGCACCTGAATCAGATTCTTGAGAAGCCCACAAAGTTTTTAAGGGACTCGCAGTGAACAAAGCACCACCAGCTGCCAAAATGTGGACAGAACAGTTAGAGTGAAAAAAGATCTGTGGGCCCACAATTTGCTAATGACAGGAAGTAGGTTGAGAAAGTGTCTCAAAGGGCACATTCTTCAAAATGGCCAAGAAAGTGCTGGAAAAGGAGGGACACCCAAGATGGCAGAGGCAAGAGTTGTGCAGAGATACAGCTTGGGGAGACACTCCCAGGAAGCAGAACTCGGGCCTGGTTAAGGAGGACTTCTTATTCTTGTAGGGCCTGAAAACATCTTCCAATAGGATTTGAGAATTGCTCTGGACCAGTGATTGCTCTGTCTCCTCCTCTTCTCATTTTCACATGCAAGTATTTATTGTGGTTATCTGGTCCTGGTTCACCATCATATGTTGGGTGCATGGGACAGAAAATTCATCTTCTTAGTTTGTAAGTCTCTGAATCAAAAGCTGCTGCACTGGACAAGCCAATCTAAGACAGACCATGAGATCCTAGATTTTGTGCCTGATGCTGGGATTGTAAGAGGCTTTTGGGGATTAGTTTCTGGAAACTAATCATAGTTTGGGTTGAAAATATCACTCCAATTTGGAGATTTTAAGGCATCTTTGGCTTTTCTAACTGCAAAGATTAAGTAGGCTTACCTTTAGCGACCTCAGACTTAACGCCACCCGAGACACTCACACCCATGACCACATTTTGGACTTTTTTTTTTTTTTTGGGAGAGAGGGTCTCGCTCTGTCGCCCCGGCTGGAGTGCAGTGGGGCAATCTTGAGTCACTGCAACCTCCACCTCCCGGGTTCAGGCAATTCTTCTGTCTCAGCCTCCCAAGTAGCTGGGGCTACAGTCGCACGCCACCACGCCCAGCAAATTTTTGTATTTTTAGTAGAAACGGGGTTTCACCATATTGGTCAGGCTAGTCTCGAACTGCTGACTTCATGTGAGCCACGCATCAAGTAGCTATCAGGTCTCTCCAGTTACTGCGGAAAAAGATCCAGAACCAGCCCTACCCCGTCTAGAGGAAAGGATGAACATTAGGCAAGCACTTGGAATCGTGCGAAGTGCACGCCATTAGATCACCTTGGTGAGTGAACCGCCAAGCCCGAAACACCGAAGGCCACGCATCCCAACCGGGAGGATGGTCACAGCGCCTACCGCGCATGCTCAAGGCACGCTCGCCTGGAGCATGCGCAGTAGGTGAGGGATACGTCATCTATCGGCGTCTGCGCCTGGCGTCACCGACCGGTGCCGACAGGAAGAGGCTCTGGGGGGGCACATGTGTATGGCGGCGAGGCGGGCGGGTACATGGCGGGCTCTGTGGGACTGGCGTTGTGCGGGCAGACGCTGGTGGTGCGGGGCGGCAGCCGATTCCTGGCCACCTCCACAGCAAGCAGGTGAGGGGGCCTTGGTCTTGGAACAGGGAGCCCAGGCTGCGGGCGCGCGTCGGGTCCCGGCGACCCCGCTTCTCCCGCACCGCTTGGTCGCACCTGCTCTGGAGTGACCCCGGGGAACCCCGCTCCGGCCTGCGAGCCCTCCGCCGCAGTCTCCGCCTGACCGCGTGTCTGCCCCTGGAGGGTGCGTTTTCGGCGCTCCCTCCCCGGCCGCCGGCGCGCTCCCTGTCCTAGATGGCCGGTCTGCGGTGTTCTTGCCCGGTTAGCGCTGGGTCACTTCCGGTCTCCGCGGCGCCGGCTGGGACCGGGTGGGCAGAGCACGTGGGGCGTTGCTGACTAGTCAGCAAGGCCCGGCCGAACACGCTCTGGAGAACTGGGAAGAAGTGGGTCTCGGGTCTCCCTGGTGAGAAGGGAGGGGCTCATGGCGAGCTCACTGACCTCCGAGCGCGCTCCCTCTCCTTGCAGGGGTTGCCTGTTCCCTCTTCCCGGCCTGCACCCACTCAGCCGGCCTTAATTGCTCCTTAGGGCTCCAGGTCATCTCCGACACTTACTTACTCGACCCAAGGGTGCACGTAGAGCTCGCAGCGCGCACCTCCTAGTGGCCCTTCACACGGCTTGGGTTTTGCTTTCCGTAATTTTATTCTCCTTCGTTAGCGTATCGCCAGTGCTAGGACGACGCCGGGGATTTTTAGATTAGTTAATGTTTGTTGATGGAATAGTCTTAACTCAGGACTCTGGGAGCAATTAGTAGTGCTGTCAGTTTCAGCCCCTCGTTTTCTTTCCCAGGTTATTTGTGATTTCATACTTGAAACGGACGACGTGTCTGTCACATGTACTGTATATTCTTCGTTTGGTTTCAGAAAGCCAATTCGATGTTAAATTGGGTCTCACAAAAATTGTACTCAGAAGCTTGTCACGTATCCCAGATGATTTTGTTTTAGACTCCCGGTCTAATACCTGCCAGAGTGAACTGTGGATGTATTAGACATGATCTGCTTACCTTCAGTCTATGTATTTTGAGAAAATTCTGGTGGTTGGTGGAGTTTCTGACTTGGAAGACAAGTCTGCGGTTCCATATGGAAAGTTTTTTGGTGCACTCACTTTAAAGGCTATAAATATGTACAGGATACGTGCCGGGGGGGTGGGATGGGGTAAACCGAAGAAAGTTTAGCGTTTAGGTTCGGTGTGGAAGATGGGTGATTCTTATGTTGTTACGTGCTTGGGGTCATGGGAACATTTTCAGGTAGGTGAGATGTGTTTCTAAATAGGTAATGGCTCTTTGAAATTTGTATACAGAATCCCACTGAAAACTCAGCAGTATCAGGACATGATTTCTTATAACCATGCCACATAGATTTTCTGGTGCCTGAGAGAATAGCATGGTAATTCCTGTTGAGTATTTATCCCTCATTTGTTTTACTGAGCTTTTTTTTTTCCCACAGAACTATGCAGGTGGTGTATGACATATTCCAATAAGAGATTAAGCAAATAAAGTTTGTTAACTGTTCCCTGAAATACTGTATCTAGACAGTTTTCTTGTCAAGGATAAGACTTTTAATGAGTATGCAAATATTTTTTGTTCCACAGAGAAAAAAGAAAATCAACATTTTTTTGTTTTGTTTTATTTTAATAAAGTGCTCCTTTACAAATCATTGTTAGGCAGGCCGAGCATGGTGGCTCACGCCTGTAATCCCAGCACTTTGGGAGGCCGAGGCAGGTGGATCACCTGAGGTCAGGAGATCGAGACCAGCCTGACCAACATGGAGAAACCCATCTCTACTAAAAACACAAAATTAGCCGGGTGTGGTGGTGCATGCCTGTAATCCCAGCTACTTGGTAGGCTGAGACTGGAGGATGGCTTGAACCTGGGAGGCCAAGGTTGCAGTGAGCCAGGATTGCACCATTGCACTCCAGCCTGGACAACAAGAGCGAAACTCCGTCTCAAAAAATAAAAATAAAAATCACTGTTAGGCTGGGCGCAATGGTTCTACCTATAATCCCAGCACTTTGGGAGGCTGAGGTGGGCGGATCACCTGAGGTCAGGAGTTTGAGACCAGCCTGGCCAACATGGTGAAACCCTGTCTCTACTAAAAATACGAAATTAGCCGGGCATGGTGGCACATGCCTGTAATCTCAGCTACTCGGGAAGCTGAGACAGAATCGCTTGAACCCAGGAGGCAGAGGTTGTGGTGAGCTGAGATCGTGCCATTGCACTCCAGCCTAGGCAATGGGAGTGAAACTCCGTCTCAAAAAAAAAAGAAAAAAATATTAAAAAAGTGTTATTTCTGTCTAATGGTAACTCCTTTTAAAATCATTCTGTTATTTCTCTTTAGTGATGATGACAGCCTCTTCATTTATGACTGCAGTGCTGCGGAAAAGAAGTCACAAGAAAATAAAGGGTGAGATGTGGGGAAGCTTTTCAGGGCCTGATTTAATGGTTCGATAATGGGACCAGAGGGTCTAAGAAGCAATTGTTGTCTTACTTGCTGAATTCTTAGCTTCTGTCACACAGTGGTGCGGGTAAGTACCACCTCAGCAGAGACATGTAAAAGTAACTTTCAAATTAGGCGTTAAGAGTACATTGTTGGCTGGGCGTGGTGGTTTATGTCTGTAATCCCAGCACTTTGGGAGGCCAAGGCGGGTGAATCACCTGAGGTCAGAAGTTCCAGACCATCCTGGCCAACATGGCGAAACCCTGTCTCTACTAAAAATAAATTAGCTGGACGTAGTGGCAGGCACCTGTAATCCCATCTACTTGGGAGGCTGAGGCACAAGAATCTCTTGAACCTGGGAGGTGGAGGTTACAGTGAGCCAAGATCGCGCCATTGCACTCCAGCTTGGGGGATAGAGCAAGACTCCGTCTCCAACAACAACAACAACAACAACAAAAAGAGTACAGTGTTAATGCCAGGTGTGGCACTCATGCCTATAATCTCAGCACTGTGGGAGGCCAAGGTGGGAGGATCACTGAGGTCAGAAGTTCGAAGCCAGCCTGTCCAATGTGGTGAAATGCCATCTCAACTAAAAATAAAAAGATTAGCCAGGCCTGGTGTCAGGTGCCTGTAGTTCCAGCTACTGAGGAGGAGACTGAGGCGGGAGAATCACTTGAACCTGGGAGACAGAGGTTGCAGTCAGCCGAGATCATGCCACTGCACTCCAACCTTGGTGACACAATGAGACTCTATCTCAAAGAAAAACAAAAAAAAAACACAGTGTTAGGACTTTTCTAAATACTTTTAGTTTCTGTCAGTAATCACATATCTTTTTTTTTTTTTTTTTTTTGAGACGGAGTCTTGCTCTGTTGCCCAGGCTGGAGTGCAGTGGCCGGGTGTCAGCTCACTGCAATCTCCGCCTCCCAGGTCCACACCATTCTCCTGCCTTAGCCTCCCGAGTAGCTGGGACTACAGGCGCCCGCCACCTCGCCCGGCTAGTTTTTTGTATTTTTTTGGTAGAGACGGGGTTTCACCGTGTTAGCCAGGCTGGTCTCGATCTCCTGACCTCGTGATCTGCTGGTCTCGGCCTCCCAAAGTGCTGGGATTACAGGCTTGAGCCACCGCGCCTGGCCTTTTTTTTTTTTTTTTTGAGACAGAGTCTTGCTGTGTTGCCCAGGCTGGAGTGCAGTGGCGCAATCTCAGCTCACTGCAAGCTCTGCCTCCTGGGTTCACGCCATTCTCCTGCTTCAGCCTCTGAAGTAGCTGGGACTACAAGCACCTGCCACCACACCTGGCTAATTTTTTTTGTATTTTTAGTAGAGACGGGGTTTCACTGTGTTAGCCAGGATGGTCTCCCATCTCCTGCCCTCGTGATCCACCACCCTCGGTCTCCCAAAGTGCTGGGATTACAGGTGTGAGGCACTGCGTCCAGGCTGCCTAATTTTTGTAGTTTTTTGTAGAGACGTGGTTTGGCCATGTTGCCCAGGCTGGGCTTGAGCCCCTGAGCTCAAGCGATCCTCTCGCCTTGTCCTCCCATAGTGCTGAGATTATAGGTGTGAGCTACCACACCGGGCCTGTTACTAGTATTTTTAATGTGAGTTTATCCCTGCCTCTAGCCTTGGGTTAGTCCTTGCCCGTGAGGAAGAGGGCCATGTGTCTTTGAGAGTTCTCCCAGCTTAGCTCTCTGGGTTCTGGCATGTATGCTGGGAGATTTTCTGTTTAGTTAGGCTTCATGCTGATAAAATTAGAGCTGTTTGGAACTTCCCCATGTCCCTTTAGTATGTCTGTAATTTGGCTACATGAACCCCTTAACAGTTTCTACCTCCTCCCGTGTTAGAAATTACCATGCTGGCCATGGGGGAATGCATTCTTATTTCCTTAGGTGAAGCTTCACTGTCTTCCTCTCTTCCTCAGGGAGGACGCGCCCTTGGACCAGGGGAGCGGTGTGATTCTGGCGTCCACCTTCTCCAAGTCTGGCAGCTATTTTGCTTTAACCGATGACAGTAAGCGTCTGATTCTTTTCCGTACAAAACCATGGCAATGTCTGAGTGTCAGGTATGAGATGCTAACGCTGGATTATTAAGCTGTCGAATGCACACCTTGTCCTTGCATGCCTGTAGCAATAGTGACCATAACATGGTGATAAGTGATTGACATGGAGCTGCAGTTCGGTGCCAGGCACCGCTCAGTGCCGTATGTGTGTTGGCTGATCTGATCCTCACAGCAGCTCTGGGAGGGTGCAGGGGTGCTGTTCTGTTCCCCGTTGGGTGGTGAAGAGTTAGGTAGCAGACCTCCGGTGAGTGGGCTTGGAAGACAGAGCCGGGCCCTGTGGCTAGTCCCTCCGGCTGCAGTGTTGGTGCCCCTGCCTTCCAGGGCGGTCCTCTGTCGTTGTGATTAGCGGGAAGGAGGCTGTGGGCCTGCACTGGAGAGTGGTAGGGATTTGGGGTCTGTTGAGGGTGGGTTTAGTGCACATATGTCTGAGTGTCTGAAGAGTGGATGGGGAGTGCATCTGTGTGGGTGAGGAGGCCAGTAACTCTGGCAAGAACGGAGATATCGCTATGCCTTGCCCTCTTACCAAGCAAAGTCCAGAAAGGTTCTTCTGCCTTCCCTATTCCTCTTTTTTTATTTTTTTGAGACGGAGTTTCACTCTTGTTGCCCAGGCTGGAGTGCAGTGGTGCGGCGATCTTCACTCACTGCAACCTTGACCTCTCAGGTTCAAGCGATTCTCCTGCCTCAGCTTCCCAAGTAGCTGGGATTACAGGCCCTTGCCACTGTGCCTGGCTAATTTTTTGTATTTTTACTAGAGATGAGGTTTCACCATGTTAGCCAGACCAGTCTTGAACTCCTGACCTCAGGGTGATCCCCAGCTTCGGCCTCCCAAAGCTGGGATTACAGGTGTGAGCCACTGTGCCCGGCCTGTCTTTAAGATTTTTATTTCATCTTCTTTTTTTTTTTTTTTTTTTTTTTTTGAGAAGGGTCTCATTCTGTCACCCAGGTTGGAGTGTGGTGGTGTCATCTCCGCTCACTGTAGCTTCCACCTCCTGGGTTCAAGCAATTCTCCTGCCTCAGCCTTTCAAGTAGCTGGGACTGTAGGTGCATGCCACCACGCCCAAAGATTTTTGTTTTTTTTGGCTAGAGACGGAGTTTGACCACATTGGCCAGGCTGGTCTGGAACTCCTGATCTCAGGTGATCCACCCGCCTCAGCCTCCCAACGTGCTGGGATTACAGGCTTGACCCATCTCTCCCAGCTTCATCTCATTTTCAAAGAGAAGAGTAAAAATCCAAATTCAGCTGGGTGCAGTGGTTCCCACCTGTAATCCAGCACTTTGGGAGGCCGAGGCAGGTGGAGTGGATCTCAGGAGTTTGAGACTAGCCTGGCCCACATGGCAAAACCCCGTTTCTACTAAAAATGCAACATTAACCGGGCATGGTGGTACATGCCTGTAGTTCCAGCTACTCGGGAGGCTGAGGCAGGTGAATCTCTTGAACCTGGGAGGCGGAGGTTGCAGTGAGCTGAGATCATGCCATTGCACTCCAGCCTGGGTAACAAGAGCAAAACTCCATTTTTTAAAAAAAAGCCAAATTCTAGGTGGCATCAAAAGCAATGAATGCCTGTTCTGTCCTCTCTTCCAGTCAGGTTAAAAAGAAAGCCCTGAAACGCTGCATCATTTCTACTTTATGTGTTTTTGTGTATATGGGTTTTACTCTACATGTTTTTATGTGTATGTGATTCACAATACGTTTTTGTGTTTTTGTGTATCAGGTCGGTAATAGATGCGCATGGTTTAAAAACTTAAAACACAACAAAATTAAACCAAAGTGTATGCGACAGCCTCCCTTCTCACCTGCCTTCTGGCTCCTTCCCCATAGGCAGTGATGGTTTCCCAGTAGGAAAATGACTTTTAACTGCATGTCCCCACATATCCGAGTCATAACTGATAATAAATGTCTGCTTCCACCTGACTGCTGTGGATTGCATCATCTTTATCTTGAAAGACGTGTGAACGGCAGCCTCTTGCTAAGATAGCCGCAACACGAGTAAGTCATTTAGGACCTAGAATAGAGAAGATGGGAAGTATTTTCAGGATTCAGGGTGAATGCCTCAAGGTGACCTTGAGGTGTCCTGCCCTGAACCCTCCACAGGGATCTCTGCAGGTGGCAGGGGCTTTCTAGGAGGTTGGCCTTGACTTTGGGTTTCTCGGACAACCTGTGGGAGGGAGGGATGGATAGGTTTTCACCCTCAGTGTTGAAAGAAGATGGTCGTTGTCCTAATCTACTTGGGCTGCCTAACAAGATACCACAGACTAGGGGTCTTAAGTAACAATTTTCTCATAGTTGTAGAGGCTGGAAGACCAAGATCAAGGGGCTGGCAGGGCAGGGCTGGTTCCTCTGAGGACTCTCTCCTTGGCTTGCCGATGGTGTCTTCTCCTTATGTCTTCACAGAGTCATGCTTTTGTGTCTATGTCCTCATTTCCTATTCCTGAAAGGAGACCGGTCAGATGGGGTCAGGACTGCCCCACTGGCCTCTGTTTCACCTCCGTAAAGGTCCCATCCAAATACAGTCACATTCTGAGGTCGTAGGTAGGTCAGGGCTTCCACTCAGGAGTTGTGGGTTGGGGGATTCAGTTAAGCACATAACAGTTCGTCTTGCCTTTTGGACTCTGGCTGCTGTGGAGAGCTCTCATGATTCACATGAGATTCTCAAAGGGGGGGCTTTGACTCCCAAAAGGTAAAAATGAAATGATCTAAAAGAATCTGATGGTCATTTTTAAATTTTTTTTTTTGGGGGGCGGAGTTTCACTCTTGTTGCCTAGGCTGGAGTGCAATGGTGCGATCTCAGCTCACTGCAACCTCTACCTCCCAGGTTCAAGCAATTCTCCTGCCTCAGCCTCCCAAGTAGCTGGGATTACAAGCATGTGCCACCATGCCTGGCTAATTTTTTGTGTTTTTAGTAGAAAAGGGGTTTCATCATGTTGGTCAGGCTGGTTTCGAATTCCTGATCTCAAGGTGACTCACCCGTCTCAGCCCCGCAAAGTGCTAGGATTATAGGAGTGAGCTACCGCACCCAGCCTGGTAATTATTTTCCTAAAGTAAAGGACCTGGCTGAGCTCTGACAGGCATGTGCACAAGAGCCACCTGGGTGTCTTGTGAAAGCGCAGACTTTGTGATTTATTTCATCTGGGCTAGGCCATATGCTCTGCAATTTATTTATTTGTTTATTTGTTTTGAGACAGAGTCTTGCTCTGTCACCCAGGCTGGAATGCAGTGGCCCAATCCCGGCTCACTGCAACCTCTACCTCCTGGGTTCAAGCGATTCTTCTACCTCAGCCTCCTGCGCAGCTGAGATTACAGGCTCTTACCACAATGCCCAGTTAATTTTTGTCTTTTTAGTAGAGATGGGGTTTTGCCTTTTGGCCAGGCTGGTCTTGAACTCCTAACCTCAGGTGATCCACTCATCTCGGCCTCCCAAAATGCTGGGATTACAGGCGTGAGCCACTGAGTCCAGCTACAGCAATTTTCTTGACTGTCCGTCTGCTGGTGGTCAGCATTTTTTGTTTTGTTTTGTTTTTGTTTTTGAGATGGAGTTTCGCTCTTGTTGCCCAGGCTGGAGGGCAATGGTGTGATCTCAGCTCACTGCAACCTCCACCTCCCAGGTTCAAGTGATTCTCCTGCCTCAGCCTTCTGAGTAGCTGGGATTACAGGCATGCACCACCATGACTGCCTAATTTTTTCAATTTTTTTAGTAGAGACAGGGTTTCATAATGTTGGCCAGGGTGGTCTTGAACTCCTGACCTCAGGTGATCCACCTGCCTCGGCCTCCCAAGGTGCCAGGATTGCAGGTATGAGCCACTGGTGCCCAGCTGGAAGAGCAACTTTTTATATACTTAAGAATCATTTGTGTTTTTTAAACTTTTTTTTTTTTCCATATCCTATGTTTTTCCATTGGGGTATTGTTTATTGGTTTGCAGGAGCTCTTTATATTAGGACACTTTATTTTTACAAAATAAGCGCATCTACCAAAGTGTCGCTCTCACATGGCCTTTCTCTGGCACAGGTGTGTAAGGTGAGCTGCACCGGTAACCACTGAGACTGGATTAGCATTTTCCAGTACTCTTGCCTTAACTTCAAAGCCCTGGGGTGGAGAACAGGTGCAGAGCTGAGATCCATGTGCTGATGTGTACATGGATCTCAGACTTGATCCAGTTACTTAGACGACAGTGGAATGTGTGGGTTCCCATTCAGCTATGGTGAGTGGGGTCATAGAAGTTGGGAGCAAATTCTCACTTGTCTGCTTCCCCTGGAGTACAGTTCGGTGTCCTTCCGTGCTACCTTTTGCCTTTTTTATCCTTTGATTTTGGTCCGTACAGAAAATTGGAAACCACTGAGAAGTACAAAATGAGAACAGTAACAAAAACCACCCTGAATCTCACCACCCAGAGTCAGGGAATGTGATGAGCACTGGGGCCAGGCCCTCCTCCTCTCTGCAGATGTATTACAGTATTTGCATGTGTTACATTGTTGCGGTGGCATGTGCTAGCCTGTAGCCTGTTTCCCCACCCAGGGCAGTGTTGACAACACTGTGTCATTCCCTGTAGCTGGGCTGTTAGATTGTTTGCACTGTTCCACTGTTCAAATGCTACTGTTTCCTTGTACTTCTTCCTGCCTTTAAACTCTGGGAAGTTTGAGTCAGAGCAAGTGGGACTACAGAGGTGTGGACAGCGTGGGTTTACTGGCACCGATGTGTGACAACACACACAGTGAAGCCTCCCAAGCCTTGGTGTCCAGCAGTTTTCTTGGGGTTGATCACACGCTGTCGGGGTGGCTGGCCTCAGTTCCCAGCCCCTCCAGAGGTGGAGTGGACACCTTGTGGCCACAGGCCCCTGCCCTAAATCACGTACTGAGGCTGCCTGTGGGGCCCAAGGCCCCTACTCTTAGAGATGAGGCCAAAGGCAAGGTTAATTCTTCACTGTGCAGAGGGTGTACCCTGTGCCAAGGCTTTTG